GGCCACTCTGCTGGCTAGAAGAGCGGAACCAGAGTGGCAGAGATGGGTGGTTCCATTTCAGAGTCCAGGAGCTGCCCCTTTCACCCCATCAGTGGGCCCCCGATCTGTCACCCCCAGGGAGCTTCTTGAGCCTTCCATGGGTGTTTCCACAGTAGGGTCTGATCTGTCTTAGGCTTTTTCTTGCTCTGAATACACTTCTGACTTTCAGAAATGTAACTTGGCTGAAGAAGAAAGAAAACACTCTAGCTGCCATCACCACACTCTGGATTTGGGCGAGGGATTTTTTTAGCTTTTCCTAAGGGTTCTTTTGTGCTTGGTGGCGAGATCTCGAAGCCAAAGCCGGACAATCAAGAAAGCATTGGAAGATGGCTTTGGAAAATGAAATCCAGGACTTTAACACAATGGGGCTGTAAGATAAGCACGGGTGGTATCATAGCGACAGGAAAATTGAAAGGGTTGAACAGAAGTTGAATGTAGCTTTGCAGAATTAGGAACAGACGGCTAGCGAGGGCTTATGCTGGAGAGAGAGAAAGCAGTGGAAAGTATGTTGACAGTTATGATAAAACACCGAGGAAGCCTTATTTGGACACTGATCTTAGACACTGTAGACCTACTGCAGCTCAAATATCAGAGCAAAGCAAACAGTTCCATAGATTAGGAGCCGGGATAGAGATTCATCCTCACTCTGGGTGAAATTTGCTCCTGTGCAGACAGCCTGCATAAGACCTATGCACCTCAGTACAAGCTGTGCGTTGACCTTGTCCTGGCCTGCTGCACAGGGTTGGGTTACTATGGAAGGTAGCATTTTACCTAGATGAGGCCCATCTAGTCCCTGTCAGAGAGATCCAATGATGTGAGGATCTCCTTTCCTTAGGGGAGGGTTGGTTGGCAGGATCCCAGACAGAAAAGAGCTCTGTGTTTTATATATATATATTGGTAATATGGCGATTTATGGTTATACCACTGAAGAGCCAACCCATGTCACCACCATGTCACTCTTAGCCCCAGCGCCAGTGGCTGGTCCATGTAAGAGATTAATGGGCTACCAACTAAGGACAAACATCCAATACAAACAGAAGAATTCTCTGGGTAGCTGGTGAAGAATCACTTTCTTCATCAAAAAGAAAAGGAGTACTTGTGGCACCTCTTCATCAACAGCCTTATTTTAAACAAAAAAAGTATAAAGAGCCTGAAATTGCGCACAAGGAAGATGTTGAGTGGAACTCGAGCCAGGTGAAATTGTTCAGACAAAAACTTTTTTTCCAGTTCAAAAATGCAGCTTGGGCAATATTGAAACGTTTTGTGAATTCATGTCGAGTTGGCCAAATTGTTCATTTCAGAAAAAAAGAAGAAAAAAAAAAAAAAGACGACAAATTCCCCCAAATCAAAATGTTTGATTTTGACATTTTCAGAATGAAACATGCTGATATTTTGGTTTAAAATGACTTTTTGTTCCCAAATTTCCTTTAAATTTATACTAAAAATATCAAACAACATTTTAAATGGTGGAATTCAAAATGAATGTTTCAGTTTTGTCAAAACAAAACATTTCATTCAACCTAAAATGATTTTTAAACTTTTTGTTGCACTAAAAATTTTGAATATTTTCATTTTTGCTCCAACCCAAAACAAATTTTTTCAGACTTTTCGAACTTGTCAACAAGTTGAAAAATCTGTAATTCACTTAGCTGAAAGTGGAGCCACAAGCTGATGTTTCCAGTCATGACACACTGCATGGCCGCTTTGTGATAGCACAAAAGGACTGACTAAGTTAAGACCATGACATGCATTTTTCATGTTCAAGCACCAATCAGGGTTTTAACTGAAGACTTCATAGCTGTGGAGTGCTGCATTAATATTGCGCTTTATGACACTTATAGCCAGTGGTTTTAAGTTCATATGCTTCACTGATCAGAGGCCTGAATTTCTTCTTGAAATATTTCCTGCTATCTCCCTCTGGCACAATGCTAGGGTTTCACTGCTTGGGTAAGAGATCCTCAGCACTAAAATGTTGGTTTTTTTTAAAGGAAATGTGGGGTGAAAAGATTTCTTCTGCTTCCAGTTGGCAACTAGGTGTGGGAACAGAGCAATGTACTGGTTGATGGTTCTACTGGCCTCTAACTGGACGTTTTTCTAAAATCTGCTCAAGGAATTATTTTGGGGAAGTTCTCTAGCCTGTGTTGCACAGGAGATTAGATTAGATGATCACAGTGACTCCTTCTAGCCTTGGAATCAAAAAGAGAAAACATAAGTGGCTATTAGAAATCAACAGAGACCAGTAAGAACCGGAAGAGACCAACTGGAGGATTCTAATGGAAGCTACTGGAATGTCCACTGGGGAAGAGGACTCTCCCCACAGAAAGTGAAAGGAGCTCCTGTAATGTGCCTTTTTATCCTTCCACATTCTCATGTGGCAACCTGTAAAGAGTTCCCAGCCCGTGCGCAGCTGAGTGACAGCTGAGGATCACCCACAGCAGAGGGATGAATTGAGAGCACTACAGTCAATGGATGGATTCTTCTGCTCTGAGACCTCCTCAAACCAAGTGTCTTAAAAGCCATGAACTGTCCTGCTGCTTTATTTAGCTGTTTAATATAAATATGTACATACTGTAAAGCTATTTTGCACTGTCATCGGCATATCTCAAAGCAAGTTACAAACAGTAATTCTCACCACACTCTTGTGAGGTAGGTAAGTATCATTATGGCCACTTTACAGCCAAGTTAAAAGACTCGCCCAAGGTCACAGAGTGAGTTAGTGGCAGAGCAGGAGTAGAACCCAGGAGTCCTGACTCCAGTTTCTCCTGCTGTCACCACCAGAACACACTCCTTCCCTATCTATTTTAATACATTACCAAAACATGACAAACAGACATATCACCAAGATACATTAACAAGATTGCTTGGAAATAGCAGAGACAGCTTCATTACAATTTCAATATTATGAAAAATGTTCAATAAACTTAATTCAAAGACAAGCACACAGCTCCCGAAAACATGAAAATGGGCTGTGAATGCTGATGAATCCTTAGCAGTGAAAGGATAACCTCTTCCTCTTTGATTTACCGAGCCCCACCCTGTAATTTCCTCCTAGCAAGTCCACACTGTCCCTGGCTCCAACACTCCACTGTGGACAATTCCTCCTGCTTCTGGGGTGCAAAGGTAGAAAAGCAGGTGGTTAGAATTATCTCCAGGGTGATATTTCAGCTGGGATGGCACTGAACACTGTAGACAATAAATAACTTCCATGCTCCCAAACATGAGGGGTAGCAGGTAATCCTGGTGGCCCCTGGCTTGCCAAGGGCATCATGGGAAGGGCTGACAGAAATGTTGTGTTGAGTACCAGCAGGAAGTGAGGCACAGTCCGCACAGGTGCCCATATCCTACTGATGCCTCTGTGCAATGCTAGGTTGTCTGTCCCTGCTTCATCCTTGGGAATCCCCATCCATTCACTGTGCTTTCAGAATTCACCTGGGTGGGGCCAGAATCCAGGCCTCCTTTTCAAGGCCATGTGGTGCAGTTGCCCACGAAATATGGAATATCTGTTGCCTCTTTTCCCAGTTCAACCATCAGCCCGCCTGAGGCGCTTGAGACCTTCCAGGAGGAGAGATTCCAGGGTTTCCTCAGACATCCTTGGGCAGGCCTTGGCACAGGAGCCATCTCTTCTTTCCCAGACTGCCCATTGGGCAGGCTGCACTCAGCAGAGTTTGGCCGTGAAGAGGAACCAGGCGAAGGGTGGGTGACTCCCTCTTTTGGTCCATGCAAAAAATCAATATTCTTCGTTATCTCCTCCCCTGCTGCGTTTGGGCTATTTTTAGCTCTAATAAAGGATCCGTTGATTTAGATTGGGGTGAATGTAGTTGGCAAAATTATCTCCTAACTCCCCATAGGGTGAAAATCATCTCTGTGCAGTGCAACCACACAGAACCTGTACACCACCTAAATCCCACTTAAACCCCTCGACTTTAGCTGTGACTTGGGTGGTCTATGTATGATGGCAAACGGGACTTGAGCGTTGGAGTTTTGTTGTTTGTTGGAGCTGGCCTTTTACACGGAGGGAATTTCATCTTATGCCCTCCTCAGATGTCTCCCGCCCCCCTAGTACAGTAGTCAAGAATGACGCTCTGTGGAGGCTGCATACGCATATATACGGTGTCTTGAGAATCTGTCCTACTGGGAAAGGACCCAGGCTGGTTTGTGCTTGAGTGGGGAGTGAAGGAGGTGTGTTGCCTTTATGGCTGTTCTAGTTCTTTAGAGGATTTCTATTTTAGTGGCTGTTGGGCTTTTGCTGCCTGGAGAATTACCTGCTCTTTGAACAGGTCTCTCCTTTTGACAGGAGTTCAGGTCAGCAGCTGCCTTTCCATGTTTTGAACTGCATTCCTCCTTCTTAAATTCAGTGCAACACAAGAAATACAATGCAACACTCCCCTCCCACAGCTTTCCTTCGGGGATCTCCCCAGGAGCCACTGACTCCATTTTAGGATGGTGGGACTTGTTCCAGAGCTGCTAGAATGATCAGGCCGCAGATGTCTAGCATGCAATGGGCTTTACCCAAAGCCCTTTGAAGTCCAGGGAAGTCCATCCCATTGACTTTAATTTGATGGGCTTTGGAACTGGCCCAACCAGAATTACATGCTGGTGGGTTAACAAGGAGTCCGCTCCCAGGCTGCTCTGCAGCTGGTTCTGCATCAGAAAGCTGGAGCAGCCCTCACAGTTGCTGTCCCCTCTGTATGCAGGGAGAAGGGAGTGAATGGTGGATCTGTGGCTTGCCAGATCCGCTAGCCTTACCCCCATCGCCCCCTTCCCCCAAAGCTCCCTGCATCTGCAGAGAACAGAACCATGGCAGACGGGGGGGCTGTAGACTCCCTGGCTGTGTTCCCACCATCCTGTCCTCCACATCCCCAGGCGAACTGCACCATCCCCAGCGAGTCCATGGGAGGAGAAGGGGCAGGAAATCCCTCCCCCCCCGAGAACCAGCGAATGAAAGCTGCAAAGGGCCTCACTTGTCTGGGTTAACGATGGCGTTCATCTCCTCTGCCAGGTGCCGCCTCAGGATGTGCTTGCTGCTTGGGATGCCCAGAGCTGTGGCCATGGCTTCTGCATTGAACGTGGGCTCCAGGATTAGCACAGCCCCATGCACGCCACTGTTCATCAGGTTATCCGCATACTCCTAAAAGCAACAACCAGAGCCAGGATTAACCTGACAAGAAAGGACACCTTTGCCTGCCTCCCTTGGTGGTAGATGCTAAGATGTCAGCGGGTGCTATTCCCAGCGGCAGCTGCTAGGGGGAACAGATGAGTTCCTCTATCCTGTATGACCACCATGCCCCGGCTACCCTGTCCATGGTGCTTAGCTATTTCTATACCTGATGCTTCCGATGCCCACTTGAGATCTGAGTGATGAAGCGTGAACCCTACCCAGGCAGACTCTTCCCCTCCCTGACTATTACACCCCACAAGCCACTTCCTCACAAGCAGGTCCTACCTTCAGGTCAATGTCCCGCACCCACTTGAGTACCCGTTGATTTGTCCAGACAAGCGGATCGACGTTCTGGATCTCACAGCGAGCTCTCCGCTCTTGCAGAACCTACACACAAGGACACTGACATTATCGACAGTAAAATAGGTCCTGCCCTCTCCTTATTTGGATCCCTCCTCACTTCTTCCACAAATACCAGAGCTGTGCCCTCTTTGGCCTTTGGAGAGCCTAAGATCTGGAAGTCCCATTCCCTAGGGTCTTGGCCGGCCAGAGGGGAGGAAGGGAACTAGCAGCTCAGTAAATTATTTGAGACTCAGGCCAATAAGAAATTGTTCAAACAGGAGGGATCACTTCTTGAATTATGATTTCCCTTTGCTATGTAACTAACTGTCTAGAGAGACAAGGTGGGTGTGGTAATGCATTTGATTAGACCGACATCTGTTGATGAAAGAGACCACCTTTCCAGCTTATACAAAACTCTTCTTCAGGACCCATGTAAGCTCAAAAGTCTGTCCCTTTCACCCACAGAAGTTGGTCCAATAAGAGATATGACCTCACGCACCTTGTCTCTAACATCCCGAGACTCACACCGCTACAACACTACAAACAATCGTATCTACCTATCCGTCCATTCAGCTGTCTAAGAAGAAGAATCACTTGATGTTGGGGAAACAAAATGGGTTAACATTACCTGAGCAATTGCCAAATCTCCCAACAACAGGGTTCAGTGCAGCCCTTTTGTTCTCCTTCCTTGCCCAAGCTAAGGGGTTATTTTGTTCCTGGTTCCATTTTGAAGGTGCTTTGTTGGGAAAGGGCAGAGTTACATATTTCAGGTTCCCAAAAAGAGGACACTGCCAGAGGGTGGGGGAGCTGGAGAAGGAGGGGCTAGAGGGAGCCAGAGGGACTGTACAGTTGGGGGTACTGGAGGGGGTATCTGGGGGGTGTGGGAGGGGTGTGTGTGTACTGGGAGTGCTACCTGGGGGGGTGGCAGCCTCACGCTTGAGGTGGGAGGAGCAGTGTAGCTCCCTCTCTCGGTGGTAGGGTGGCTGGTGCAAGCCCAGGACACACCGCCAACCATCAGTCAGTGCTTCCCTGCAGAACCCCCCTCTCCCCCCGGGACTGGGATCCAGGGCCTGGAGCGGTGGAATTCGGCAGGTGTGGCTGCAGTGGAATGGACCAATCAGCTGCGGTTGCAGGGAGGGACCAATTGGGATGTGGACCAATCGGGGCTTTTTCTGAGCTACAACGACTGCTCTGCAAAAATCCCAAACATCCCATAATCCACTGAGACAGAAGGTGGAGGATCAAAAGAGAGGCAATACCCAGGAAAACCTGGATGTATGGTAACCCGAGGTGAGAGCTGCTCCGGCAAAGTCGACAAACTCTGAAATCTCCACTCCCTGGAGTTGCTGAGTGGTACGGCTATTTCTATACAAGAAGGTCAATGGGAGACGCGGGTGCGCTGTCCCTAATGTAATTGATCTATTCGAGACAGGAACTGGGAATGGAGAGCACTCAGAGGAATTGCACTGGCCTGGAGCGATAGAAAGTTTGGGTTGGTCCTGCTTTGAGCAGGGGGTGGGACTAGATGACCTCCTGAGGTCCCTTCCAACCCTGATATTCTAGGATTCTATGAAAGGCTAATTGTTTGGCAAACCAAACCACCTGTTTTAACCATTTCTCATCTCACCTCTTTGCTGAAGTTGACTTGAAAAAGCAGCTCTATTCCCAGCAATATGCTGACCTGGTGGAACTTTTTAGACACATTAAGGTACTTCTCCAAGTCTCGTTTCATCAGCGAGTTCAGCATCCTTCCATCCACGAGGTGATTTTGGAAAGCCTGGGAATACTGAGACAGCCCAATATCATTCAGCCAGGCCTTGGCTACCCAGTGGTGATCCAGTTCAGAGGCTTTAGACAAGCTGTGGAGTGTAAGGAAGACAGATGGTGTAAGGAAGGTCATTAAAGTGCATGATGCTTCTGCTACCCTGTGTTAAAAATCATGCAAATACCTTGCACAAGGGCTGTGCAGGCAATGGGCCAGATTCTCTGGTCCACTCCAGTCACTTTGTGCCACTGAGCTTTTTGCCAGTGGAAAATTCCCTTTGTGGAGGAGAACTACCCACTGATATAAACCCCCAGCAGTTCCTACCTCCACCTGGCTTAGGGGGCATGCCAGAGAAGGGGTAGGAGTGTGGCAAATGTGAGTTAGGGATGAGCTCTGGGCAGGCAAAAAGCATGGCAGCTCTGTTATATGTCTCTATAGAGATTCCATTGACTGGAGTGGGGACACTGACATGCATAAAGCCAAGCACGTGTTTAAGTCTTCAGATGGATCGGGGCCTGAATTACTGTTGGGATTTTATGTATGCTTTAATGTCTACAAGGAAAGTTGTTTTTTGCTCCCTAAATTTAAAAACAAAGCAGGAAGTGTGCTGACTGTTTGGTGCTGGGTTGATTATTGTGACTTTCCCCCTTTGAAACAAATGCCAATCTGAGATGGGTGCAATTATTCAGGTTTGCCTGAATAATTGGATAAATATTGGATAATAATTATTGGATAATAATCCAATAATAATTGAATAATTTTAAAGGAATCCCTGGAGTCACCTCCACAGAAATAGGCCTACACCCATGCTGCTCACCAGCTAGCCACAGGAGGTCAGCATTGCAACATGGAAGACCGTTGGTGAGGCACTCCGGGATGTGTGTTTTTTTCAATGGGACAGGCAAATCCAGGAGCACACATTTCTGCACACTTCTCATGTCTGCCTTATGTGTTGTAAGCGAATGCAAACAGGGGCGAGTCACAGCACCAGGAGACGTGTGTCCATGTTAATCACTAGATGCCTTCACTGATTACACGATTCAAAACACCACCCATTACAGGTGGAAGAAACAAGCCACTCTGAGCCTGATTCTCACGATGCTTGCCCTATGTATTTACAGGTCTATAACCCCATGTGCTTCCTTATAGACACACCTGTGATCTGCTGGCACAGACATGTGTTTGTTCACTTACAACTAGATGGGAGTTGCCCAGCTGCTGTGGCAGCTGGCTCTACATCATTCAAGAGATTAATTAATTAAAGGATTAATTAATCCTTCATTAATCTAGCCTCGCCATCCCTATGCCCAGCTCTGAAGTTTATAATAAAGCAGAAACTGAGCAGAAAGCCTGGCTTCAAAGCAGAATAGTCTTTCCAATTGTCTCCCTTAGCATTGGTAAGGAAGCGTAAGAGTCATTTACAGCACACTCTGCGGACTAGCTGCTTTCCTCTCTTACTCTCTGGAGACAGAGTTTTCCCAGAACGAATCTCATTGGTGGGCAACATTGAAAAAGGCTTTAAAAAGTAGGTGAAATAGCCATTCACAAATGGTTAATGCTTGTCATTTCTTTCCTCTGTTCCCATGAAGCCAGGTACTTGCCAGTCACAAGGGATTTAAGCACGAGCCATGTCTAAGCCCTGGTATGACAGTTATGTCGAGACAGAGTCTGGAAAGCAGCACCCAGGTCTGGGAGCTGAGCTAGGGTCTGATGTTCTTGGCCCCAGGGAGCAGAGCAGCTGCCAAGACTCTTCTGTGGCTCCAGCCCCAGTGATCTGCAGGGGTACAATAGCCAGCAGAGGTCTGTAGTAGAGGATCCCCCGACACATCCCTGCTCCCCGGGGCCCACTCCTCAGAGGCTCAGCTCTGGGCCGTGCAAGGCGCCAAGGTCGTGTGCAGCTGCGGCCTTCCCAAATCTCATCCGCTCTCGAGCAGCAGAGCGGCAAAGTTTTGCCATCTCTGGGGTCCTCTGCTTTGGCAGAGAGGGGACAGGTCCTGCCCCTGAGCGTGGCTCCTTCCCTGTGCTTCTCTCCACTCCTGGCAAATAATGAATCTCTGCGAGGAACGGAAAACTGGAGGGGCATGTTGTTCGCAATTCAACCCCAGTCTGAGAAGCTGAATACTACAGTGCAGCCACTAACCATTAAAAGGTTCTAGGACAGAATTGTCCTGACTAAGCCCCAGACGCTGCAGAACCTGGTTTTAACACTTTAAGATCTAGTCTGCAGGTGAAGACAGAATAGCAGCTTCACTCAATCCATCCAACCTGCCTATACCTCTCCAGTAGGTAACCTGGCCTAGCTTGGTGGGCCTTATGTAAACCCTGGGAATGGATTCTTCTAGACTGCTTCATTTGTTTTAAATCCTACACGAGGAAACAGAGGAGATAGCTCCATAGCACTGAATACTACCAGGTACAAGACTGACAGCTATTGGTTTTGCTTCCACTGGGGTCATTTGATTTTAGGAAAATCTTGCTCTAGCCTCTTTGCTGAATTGCTAGCCAGGCTCACTCCCAAAGCTCACCAGGGTGTTTATGTTGTTGTTGGTTTTGTGGCTTTAAATGCAGGAGACAGTTTGATTTCTTTCTTTTTTTAATCACCCAGGCCAGCTCTGTGAGGAGCAGCACCACACGCTAGAGTTGATTAATTAGCAGAGCAAAAATGAGGGGGACGTCACTGAAGGAAGTAATTATGCAAAACAGAAGTGTCAGTTTTGTTAAAGTGAGTTTTCTCTCGCACTGAGCACAGCAGTAAGAATTGTTCCCTGACATTTGTTTTTTTCCCCTCTCTCTCATTCTCTCACTCTCTTTTTTTTCTTTTCCGCCCACCTCCCCCCCCAGATAATTTGGTTGCTGTCTGAGGAGAATATGTAAATACACACACACACACAAACATGCACACATCAATACACATGTATGCATATGCATGCGTACATGCGCATGTACACATACATACAGACATGCACACACACGTGGGCACATGTATGCACACACAAACATGCAGACACACAATGCAGAAAGTTGGGTTCTGATGCCCACGGGCAGAGCTTACCATTTGCCCGCTTCTGCGTCCCTGTAATCCTCTATTGCCAGCCTGAGTTTGCGGCGGTGAAGGGAGCTACAGACGCCAAGCCCTGTTGCCAAATCTTCATCGCTCAAACTTAGCAACATCTGCTCTCCAAGAAAAAAACAAAACAAAACTCAACCATTGACTTTGGTCACTTACATACCAGCAATGCAGTATGCTGGGTGGGTTCTTGTAAACTATACCCCAAAATACTTTACAGCGTAACTAACAAAACTATAGAGAAGAAGGGAGGAAGTGGTTAAGGTGTCAGACTGGGGCCTAGGCAATTTGGGTTCTGTTCTTGGCTCTGCCACAAATTCTCTCTGTTATCTCGGACATGGCACTTAGTCTTTGTGCCTCGGTGTCTCCATCTGTGAAATGGGGATAATTCCCCCCCCACCCTCGCAGAGGTCCTGTGAGGATGAATTAATGGATTCATCCTATAGGGGAGCGCATCATAGAAAAGCCTACCAATGAAAAAACAACATCAACAGAGATTAACTAACAACAGTGGGTGAGGGGAAAGGGGGGAAGCTGAGCTTTGCAACAAGGTAGAAAACTGTTGCAAATGGCAGAAGCTACAGTGGAGAAGGCTCAGCAGTGCCCAGCCTGCATGTGGGGGGGGGGATGACAGAGCAGGTCGGGTTGTGCTAGTGAATCGGAGGGCACAGAGAGACCTAACAATCCCCTGCATTAACTGGGGCACCCTGGGCACTTTTTCCCACCAAACAACTTGGCTGCGAGTGAGGATGGGGTAGGGCTGGGACAAGTGGCCACAGCTCTGGCTTTGGAAGCCCCTCGCCACTCAGAGGGTTGTTTGGGCTCACGTGCTTTGGCGCTGACAGCAGATTGCTATCAATGGTGCAGACACACCAGTGCAGAGACGTAGCTTGCTCTCCTACCTTCCCGCTCTTGACGTTCTCCCCACAGGCTTTGACGTACATGGGCATAGCCATGACCACCTCCAGCCATGCCTGCACGGTGCCTGCCTTCCAGTGGGACATGGGCGTGGTGCGGACCAGCTCCACCTGCTGCAGCCGGTCTACCTGTTCCTCCCCTTCAGACAGGCTGAGGCTTAGGCGAGTGGGGCTGGAAAGGCTGTCGGAATCTGGAACACAAAGCAAACGGTGGAAATGCTGCTGGGCTCCCTGCCCAAGGGGCTCACGGGGATCTAACACTTCAGCTAGGAATGGTTCCAAAATCTCCCTGGACGGCTCTAGCTCCAGGAACCTGGCCCAGCCGCTGGAGACATAAAATGTCATGGCTTAGGCTGATGCGAACACGTCACTGTTCTTGGAACCTGAGAACCCTGGCCTGGCTCGCACTTCAGCTCTGCTAATATTACCTGTCTTACAATGCCTGCCTTGTCATCAGCAGGGTTTGAGCCTCAGTCCTTGAGTACCAAAGCCTTGAGCCAAAGCAGTAACTCCAGTAGCATATAGCAATAGTAGGCTCTTACCCCTCACGTGGACTAGCCACTAAAGGGGGAAATGATACATTGCGCCACTAGACGGTACTGGAAGGAAGTAGAAAGCATTGAGCAACAATGGCTGGGATTGAAAGCTCTCTCACCGAGACCCTGCCCTGAGCCAATGTCTAATCGGTGCAGACCATCTTCCCACCCTCTTGGTGCAATTTCAGCCCTGGCCTCTTTACGGAAGATCTTCTTGCCCAGTAATGTCTCCATCGAGGAGCCAGGCAGTGTACTGACATACTGACCGTTACCTTTCCGTCTCTTCTTTCACTGGAATTACTGCACAGCAGTCTCCTAAATAAAGCCTGATAGAAAACAAGCGTTGACTCTCTTGTGGCTGCAAGAGGTAAGAGCCAGATGGAGGAAAACGGGGCAACTCAGCACAGTCAGGCAGCTGGTAGCCGGAATCAGTGGGCGTATCCAGTAGCTACTGCCCTTCACTGATGCTGACTCTCGTGCCGGCTCCTCCTTAGGTCACAAGAGGGGCTGAACCCTTCCCCATGGTTGGTCGGCAGCAGTTCTGCTAGGTGAGATGGATGGGGACTTCCCTCTCAGACCTTCCTTATGAGGCTCCAGGCAAGCATGGCCCGCGCTGCCAGAGCAGGGGCGTCAGGTGACTCCTTCTCCCTCCCCAGCCCCAGTGCCACTAATAGAGAAGGGGGCATTTGGCAGAGTTGACTCTAGTTCCATTGCGGGAAGGGGAGAACGGGCAAGCCCCTGAGTCTGTTGGGTGCTCCAGAACTGCAGGGCCCCCCGGGTCTATTTGTGTGGCTTGTGGTGAAGGCTCATCTTGCTTCCCCATCCCAGCAGAGGCAGGAGGAGCTGCGCTAAACCCTTTGTCGCTCCCCATCTCACTGCCAGGGGCACAGCCAAATCCAAACGCTGCCGGAATGGGACCCAGGTCTGTTTATTCGACCAGGCTACCACACAGCCTCTTCCTCTCTCTGTTTGCAGGGAAACACCAGGGCTCCTGGAAGGAGAGGAAAAGAACTGACTGGTTGGAAGGGAAATGCAAATGCTGCTCATTGCAAAGAGACATATCGCCAATAGGCACAGACCGATCACCCCCAAGGGATCACTCGCACAGTAGGGCATTAGCTGCCCATCCATCAGGCTGATTACCAGCAAGGAAAGGCTCCAAGCTGGGCTAAACAGGCTTTCGGGACCTCTGGAACCCAAGGCGAGGCAGCAATTTGCCTACTCTGGATGGCAGGGGAGGGTTTTATGCTCTGTGCATGGATTGGTTTTCTGCTAGCTGGCCATAATCTTAGGCAAAACAGATTGATGGGATACATAGGGAGGAGGATAGGTTGGCGGGGATGGGAATCCCTAGGAATAACTAGCGGGGTGTGTCCTCACAGCCCATGGGCTAGGAATATGGCCAGCTTCTCAAAAATACCTTCCAAATCAATGCACTGCAATGAAGAAGAGAAAGACTGGCCTTTACCAAGCGATCGGGGCATTCGCCTCTCCCTTTCCCCACCCCTAGCTCAGCTCATCCTACCCCCACGCTGCCTCGCTAGGCGCAGCTGCCCAGGTCCCTGTCGAACCAGCTGTATGGAAGCGCCCGCACATGTGCATCCTGCCAGGGACGTCGTATTTTTCGCTCCTGGCCTCATCCCGCAAGGTTGAGCGCCAGCTGACTGTCAACCCGTCTGGCTGACGTCCGCTGGAGCAGTTGCCAAACCTGAGGCCTGCTAACTATGCGCTTCGGGGGGGCCTTTCACTCCCCCTGTGCAGAGAGGAAGTACAAACCTCTGCCCGACGTGAATGAAACTGCAGGCCTCACAACACGGCTCAGGCAGGCTGTCAACGTTGCCTGGGCCCTGTCCAGGCTCCTCTGTACAGAGCTGAATTTCAGTCGTCATTACTGTGTCTTTAAAGCTGCAGCAGGAAGCCAAGCAGGCTGCAGTTGTAAGCAGAAGCTTTAAAGTTGCTTTGTTTTCAAGGCTCCTTGTTCCCTGATAAGGGACACTGGTTCTCTTACTGGGTGATTCTTCATGATGCACTTAGCTAGTTTAACTGCACAGGTGCAGCGTTTTCCTTGGTGTACAAACTGGGCGTGTTCCTTTGCCTTTCCTCCAGCTTTCAGCTGGGTCCTCTTTGTTCTTATTGTAATGAGCTGAGGGGAACACTTGAAATCCCTTTCTCCTCTTCTTTACAAGTGTTCAATAAATCGCCCAAAGAAAGGGACGTGCCCTGTGAGGGCTTTATATTGCCACATGGGCCTGGCACACAGGTTGGAAGTGATATGCCACTGGCCTGTGTATGTCCCCAATTGCTATCAGGTGGGCTGTGAGCATGAGTTGTGCACTAAATACGATGCACAGGTGTTTTGTGTGAGCACTAATACAGCAGTGTGGAGGGGAAGTGGCTTCTAAGAGCAAGTGCATTGCAAACTCTCAGCTTGGATCTTCAGCCTTTTCCATGTAGGTAAGTTTATAGTGTGATGTCTTGGACCCTGATTATGGCTTCAGAGCTTTTACTGTCTCCTTGATTCATTTGTCTTTGACAAATGGTAAAGGCCTGAGCATCAGCAATATTTGTGTCTGCATTTGCACATTGGAACACCCTGCCATGCTTAAGGCAACCTGGGTTTTTAAGTATTCTACACAACGGTGGGGAAAAAACTCTCCCATCTTTACATTGCTCTCCCTGGTCTCATTAAATCTGAGCTGCCCGTAGGCCTGGATGGATGATCTGGGAAGAAGAGCAGGAAGCATGCTGTGGCTTGAACTCCCGGCAATCGTTCCACAGGGATCTGGGTCTGCTTTACATTTGCAGGTAGGCTCCCCTCTTTTAGTTAAAGGTTCGTTAAGATGATGAGTAGTAATAAACGTGAGTTCTCAATTACAGGAGGACGAGTCAGAAATGGTGGCTCTGTGATCATGAGTGATTACAGTGGTGCTTACTCCAGGCATTCAAAAGGTCATGAATCAGAATGCTAAAAGCATGAGATTTACTGAAAAATCAGCAACTTTAGCTGCTTTTCCTTTGCCTTGTGTTGAGCCTTTAAGGGGGCACTCAGGTCACATTTGCAAATTCTTCTGTGAAATCATGTAGGGAGCGTCTAGCCCTTTAAAAAAATATGGACAGCTAAGATTCTTCTCTAATCATGGCAGTCCAGGAGCTGGGACTCTTTAAAAAAAAAAAAAAAAAAGTACCAGATACCGTAGGAGTGGGCAACACTATGTCATTAGGAAAAAGCTTCAGCACACATTTGCAAAATAAACCATGTGGTTGCATAGAGGGAAATGTGCCGAGTTTAGTATCTGTAAAGTTACTGCTTTGGTGTTGGCTTTATCAATGAAAGAGCAGTACTTTCCCCCCTAAAACTAAAGTTTGGTAGCAGTTTCAGGCTAAATGCTAAAGAATACATGGCGATCTTTTTAAAAACAGGCTTTGATTCTGTAAATATGCACAGTCTTAATTTGCTTCAGTGGTACTGCTTATGTGAAGGGATAGCTCAGTGGTTTGAGCATTGGCCTGCTAAACCCAGGGTTGTGAGTTCAATCCTTGGGGGGGCCATTTAGGGATCTGATGCAAAAATTGGGGATTGGTCCTGCTTTGAGCAGGGGGGTTGGACTAGATGATCTCCTGAGGTCCCTTCCAACCTTGATATTCTAGGATTCTATGTGCTTCAAGTTGAACATAGGCATAAATATTTGTAGGACTGTGGTTGGTATAGGTGCAGGTCCTGCATTATCTTTTAGCATGCGAATAGTAGCATTGATTTCAATGGCTCCATTTATGGTAGTAAAGTGGAGCATATGTTTAGGTATATTCAGGACTGGGGCCACAACGTGGAAAATTGTTACCTGTCCTGTATTTGTTCAAAAAACCCGACTGATTTATTTTTCTGACCAATTCCTCCTCCTTTTTTCTTCTGTCAAAAGTTCAACAAAAATCATCAGCGTTTTGAAATTGAGAAAATATGGCTGGTTTTGTTTGACACATTATTTGCTTTTGTTTTAGTAGTGCAAGGAATGTAGCGTTGGTGTGAATGTGATTAGCTGTTCAGGGAGGTGTTTTTGCCGCAAGGGTGTGAAGTCCCTGTAACACATCCATAGTGGCTGTCTGCTGCGTTGCATTTGCAGAGCTAAACTAATAAGATATATCCAAGAAAACACCCAGAGCTGTCTGTGAATATAACACTTCTGGGTGCCCTTTAATCAACCTCTCACCTGCGCCACTGGGCAAAATCCACTGGGGAGAGGTGTGGGGGAATATGTATTGCTTGTTACACTAGTCCAATCAAGAAATAGAAACAATGCCATATTACCTGACAAAGGCATCTCTAATTATTAATTTATTTGACTTCTTCCAATGGGCCCTCACCCCACGCTCCCCCCCATTGCTCTATCTTCCCCCACCCTCACTCACTTTCACTGGGCCGGGGCAGGGAGTTAGGGTGTGGGAGTGGGTGCAGGCTCTGGGCTGGAGCCAAGGCGTTTGGAGTGTGGGAGGGGGCTCCAGGCTCAGCCTGGGGCAGGGGTGCAGGAGGGGGTGTGGGGTGCAAGCTCTGGGGAGGGAGTTTGGGTGCTGGAGGGGGGCTCAGGGTTGGGGCGGGGTTGCAGGCTGGAGTGTGGGGTGCAGGCTCTGGCCAGGAGGTGCTTACCTGGGGCGGCTCCTGG